AAAAAAAAAAAAAAAAGGCCTAAGGAAATCAACTGCTGTGGTCACAAAATAATGATGGTGCCTTTGTGAAAGAATGTTTGAAAAAGAAGGATGTCATGTCTAAGAAAAATAATTCAGACTCACTAAAGTTGACAAATATAGCTGAGGTTAACACACCTCACGCATAGTTTCTATCACCTGAACAAATATACCCGACTTATCAAACTTACATATAAACGGCTGATTTCTACACAGCTCAAAAGAAATAACAAGTGACCCGATGGACCTATCTTCTACAGCCAAAAAGTATTCTTTCATGTTCCCTCCACTTTAGGCTGAACATGAGGAAATGGAGAAATGGGAGAGTACAGATCGCCTAAGCAACTTAGTGAGACCTGTCTCTATTAAACTAAAAAAAAAAAAAAAAAAAAATGAGGTGGGCACGGTGTCCCACATCTTAGTCTCAGCTACTTGGGAGGCTGAGGTGGGAGGACTACTTGAGTCCAGGAGTTCAAGGCTGAGTAAACAATGATTATACCACTGCATTCTGATTTGGGCAGCAGGTTGAGACCCTGTCTTAAAGAAACAAATGAAAAAACCCACCTTGCTTTCAGTTGTTCTCTTGCTCATTTTTCTTTTCTTCAAACTATTTATCACACCTTTAAATTACATTTATTAGTTATTTTGCTGACATGTTTATCTGTTTTATACTTACTTACAGTAAAGTTCTGTAAAGATAGAGACTTTATCTGCTACCCTGCCCAGTGCCTAAAATAGTGCCCAGCAAAGCCAGTTGTTGGTGAATATTTACTGAATAAATTAATATCACAATATTAGCAGGTCTTAAGTGATCTCTGGGCTTCCAGTTTTGCTTTGTTTTTAAAGACAAGAGTCTCACTCTGTTGCTATAACTACAGTGTAGGTGGGTCATCATAGCTCACAGCAGTAATCTCAAACTGATCAAGTGATTCTCCTGTTAGCCTCCTGAGTAGCTGAGACTATAGCTGCACACCACCACTATTTTTTGTAGAGACAGGGTCTCATTCTTGCTCGGGCTGGTCTTGAACTTCTGGCCTTAACCAATTCTCCTACCTCGGCCTCCCAAAGTGCTAGGACTACAGGTGAGAGCATAGTGCCTCCCCTGGGCTTCCAGTCTTGCTTCTTTTAAATCCATTCTCTACTACAGTGAACATCTTAGAAATAAGAAGGGTCGCAGTAAGGAGAATGAACTAGATTCAAAAGACAAACACCAGTCAGAAGCCCACTTAATGTGAAATAAATCACATTAAGAGACAAAGGTCAAGGCCTGTGTAATGGCTTGCACCTGTAATTCCAGCTACTCAGGAGGCTGAGGCCAGAGGATCACGTGAGGCCAAGAGTTTGAGATCAGCCTGGGCAACATATCAAGACCCAATCTCTAAAAAAATAAAAATAAAAAAATTAGCCACGCATAAGCCAGGCAGAGTGGCATGTACCTGTAGTCCCAGCTACTCAGAAGGCCAAAGTAGAAGGATGAACCCAGGATTTCAAGGCTGTAGTGAGTTATGACTATGCCACTGCACACCAGCCTGGAGCAACAGAGATCCCATCTCTAAAAAAACAAAAAAACAAAAAAACAAAAAAACTAATAATTAATTTAAAAGAGAGATAAAGGCCAGAACCACAGCAGCTGTAACAGAGATAGAGAGAAGCAGAGAGATACACGAGAACCACACTAAGATCGATAAAACTCAACCTTAAATCTAGGTAGGAAAAGTTTCCTATGACTTGGCTTATAAACTTAAACCAATCAAAGAAACAGTCTCCTAATCGCTTTGGACCTTATTATTCAATTATACATATTATTAATACATAGCTGTTACTAAAGAGGAATTCAACTATGATAAGTCTACCTCCTTCAACAGACTTAGGAACTGGTCCTCAAAGGCAGGGAACATGTCATACCCACTTCTTCAACATCTAAGGCAGGAATGCACTCAACCTTTGTGAAATGAGTACACGAACAAGTACAGAAAAGGCCATATGACTAAGGTAGGACTTGAAAACTGGATAGGTGTTAGGTCTAAAAAACATGATTCCAGGTAAGTACAACTGTATGAGCAGGTAGGAACTATAAAAATGGGGAAGAAAGGCACTGTCCTAAATTAAGAATATGTTGTTCTTCTGTCCAGCCTTGGACAAGCCGTGCTCATCCCCTGCCAGTACTTCTCTTCCCTATCCATCTCATCCCACCCTATTGCTTATGGCTTTTCCTTCACTTCATTCAGATCTCTGCCCCAATATCACCTCCACAGAGGCTTTTCCTGACCAATCTATTTAAAATCTACAGCACACTCTATTACACTCCATTTCTAACCCTTCGCTGTTTTTCTTCAAAGATTATTGAATGATTCTATTCCTCTGTACCTGCATTAGTTTCCAAATAAAGTTCATTGGTCGGTCTTTAAGATCAGAATCTCTTAAAATCTACAGCATATTGAGATTTTTTTTAAAGATTAAATTCACTGAAAAAGTCTAAGTCTTGTCACATAAGTTCCTTCCACTAAAATCTGCATGTGGCCAGGCACAGTGGTTTTATGCCTGTAATCTCAGCACTTTTTGAGTGAGGAGGGAGGATCACTGAGGCTAGGAGTTCAAGACCACCTTGGGCAGTATAGCAAGATCTTCATCCCAACAAAAGAAAAATTGGCGGGTGTGGCGGTGCACATCTGTAGTCCCAGCCACCCAAAAGGCAGAGGAGTTCAAGGCTACAGTGAGCTGTGATCGTGCAACTGCATTCCAGCCTGGGAAACAGAGCAAGACTGTCTCTAAAGCCCAAATCCAGATGCCACAGAGAATATTAATTTCTTTTTAGTAAACATACACCAGAACTTCTCAGACGTTAGCAGGAAAGAATTTTATATTCCTTAATGGTAAAATTCTAGGAACGAGGGCAATCTCTAATAAAGAAAAACACAGCTAATATTGAGGAACTAGAGGAAAATGGGTACCAAACTCAAGATATTAGAGAGCACACACTACAGACAAAGCAATTTTAAGCCTATTTCAATAAGTAGTTTTCACAAAGTTAATTCCGTGTCGACGTCGATGACCAGAAGCAGCTTCAAGTGGCCGAAACAGCCCAGATGATTCCCAGCCTGAGCCATGCAACATTAAGGCAGCTGTGCGCTCTGGGGTGACCTTCTCCTGGTCTCCCTTTTCCACTGAGAAGTCGAAAAGTCTGTGAAGCGGCAAAATAAATTGAAGCTCTTTAGGCCGAAGTTATGAAGAGGGCAGAGGTGGTCAGTAGCGGCTTCATGCCGCACTTGAGTAAAAAAAGTACCAGACCTGGCCCCAAAGACCTTGTTAGCAGCAGCAGAGGATGGGGGAAGAGGAACGCAAGCCCAAATTATAGTCGCCCTCGAGTCCCCACTCCCTAGTCCCCACCGCCACCGCGCGCAGGGTCCTCTAGTCCGCGCGCGTCCCACTGCCTCATCGGTCAGGGAGCTGGCACCTCACCTGCAGGCTTGTCTGCAGCCATCTTCCCGCCTCGGTTCGGGCTCTTCCCCGCAGGTGGCGTGGCCCCGACTCCCGCCGCCGGGATGGCCGCTGTCCTGGACCTTGAAGAACAACTCTGTGCCCACCCCGGCTCCGGGCCCCTGGGTTCCGGCCTGGGGAGTGGGCAGACGCGGGCTGAGGAAGTGACGAGGGTTAGTTCGCGTAGTCTAGCAACAGCAACAGCGTCTCCGCCCAAGCAGCACCACGGCCTCCCGCCATACCCGGCTTCCGCCCCGCGGCTTCCCTATACTCACTACTTCCGGGGGCCGCGGCCCGTCACGCCTGCAACGCCGGCGTGGGAAAGGCGACTGGCCCCGCCCCACGCCGGCGCCCTCTACGCCCCGCCCCCGGCCGGAAATGCATTAGTCCGAACTTCAGGGTGTGTGTCGGATAGGTGCGCGGGGTTTTACACACCTGCCCTTTGCGTATTCTGTTTAAAATATCAAAATGTCAGCGCTCTTGTCTCTCTTTTTACGTAAAATTGCAATATCACACCTGGCATTTATGTGCTAAGAACTGAGCCTGGCATTTGGCCTGTTCTAGCTCTTGATTTCTCACAACCCTGTGAGGGAGGCTTTGTTGAGGTTTGTTTTGTAGATTTGCAGGTAAGTTGCAAAGATGAAATTCTTGTATACTCCTCATGTAGTTTCTCCTGTTGTGAACATCTTATAAATTATTATGTTACCTTGGTCACATCCAAGAAAAAAGTTTGATGAGTGCAGCATTATTAACTAAACTCCACATCTTATTCAGATTTACCAGTTTTCCGTCAATGTCATTCTTCGGTTCCAGGATCCCACATTACATTTATTCGTCGTGTTTTTTTAGGCTACTTTTGGCTATGATAGTTTCTCAGATTTTCGTTGTTTTTGATGGCCTTGACAGTTTTGAAGAGTGCTGCTCAGATTTTTTGAAGGATGTACCTCAATTTGGGTTTGTCCCATGTTTTCCTCATGATTAGACTGGGGTTATTGGTTTTCAAGAGAAAGAGCACAGAGGTGACTGGCCATTCTTATATGAAATCAAGAGTACATGTTATCAAAATGACACCTTATGACTGCTTATGTTAATGTTGATTACCTCTCAGGTAGCGGTTTGCAGGCTTTCTCCATTGTTAAAGTTTCCTGATTTAGGCCAGGTGAGATGGCTTAGGCCTGTAATCTTAGCACTCTGGGACGTCAAGGGCTGTGGACTGCTTGAGCTCAGGTGTTGGAGACCAACCTGAGCAAGAGTGAGATCCTGTTCTAGGCGTGCCTATAGTCCTAGTTTCTAGGGAGGCTGAAGCAAGAGGATCACTTGAGCCCAAACTTGAGGTTGCTGTGGGCTATGCTGCCACCATGGTACTGTACACAGGGCAACAGAGTAAGACTGTGTCTCATCCTTTCACACTATGTTCTGTCAGTGAGTCATTAAGTGCAACCCACACTCAAGGGAGAAGGAGGGATATTTAAGTTCTTCCCAGCTACTACAGTGGGAAGTACGTACATAGACTCTTTTCTCCGAGGGCGATTTGCCTCTTCTCCTACATTTAGTTGTTTATTCAATAATGTATTTATATCAGTATAGACTCATGGGTATTTATTTTGTACTTTAGTTGTAATTCAGTTGTACATTATTATTATTATTATTATTTTAGAGACAGAGTCTCACTTTGTCAACCTTGGTGGAGTGCCATGGCGTCACAGGTCACAGCAACCTCCAGCTCTTGGGCTTAGGTAATTCTCTTGCCTCAGGCTCCCCAGTAGCTGGGACTACAGGCGCTCACCACAACGCCTGGCTATTTTTTTGTTGCTGTTGCAAATATCAACAAACCTGCCACCCTGCCGGCACCCTACTCACTGAGCCACAGGCACCGCCGTGGTTGGGAGCATTCTGCAAGCAGAACTATTTTTTATTTTTTTAGTCCCCCTTCATAGCCCAGCTGTCAGCAAAGTTATTTTTCACTTTTTCACCAGTGGTCATATAGTGTTGCTTCATGTCTCTCATTTCACAGATAAGGAAACTGAGGCACAGATGTTAACCCACTTTTCCAAGTCACAGGACTAGCCAATGACTGTTATCTTAACCATCACATTCTAGGTTTCAGAATTTGCCTACATTGAAGACATTTTGGCTCTCTTCTCTCCCCTTTCAATATTGGCAGCTCTCCTTCTGTTCAGCCAGGTGGACATTAGTGATGGTGAATTAATTTAGGAGTGAGAGGTGGAAAACTCAATAGGACTCTGCTCTGTCAAGTGTATGATGAGTCACTTAACCTCTAGCTAATGGTGGTACCACTGTCCATTCACAGTCCCTCCAACTATATGTGGTTCTTGCCACTGTGGAAGTCTGTCTTCAGAGGATCTATATGAGATGTGACCTTCCATGTCTTGCTTCTTTGTTTTTTTTTTCTTTTTTTTGAGACAGAGCCTCAAGCTGTCCCCCTGGGTAGAGTGCCGTGGCATTACAGCTCACAGCAACCTCCAACTCCTGGGCTCAAGCGAGTCTTCTGCCTCCGCCTCCCAAGTAGCTGGGACCACAGACGCCCGCCACAACGCCTGGCTTTTTTTTTTGGTTGCCGCCATCATTGTTGTTTGGCGGGTCCGGGCTGGGGATTCGAACCTGCCACCTTAGGTGTATGTGGCTGGCGCCTTAGCCGGTTGAGCTATAGGTGCCGAGCCTGTCTTGCTTCTTTGTACTGCATGCTGCTGCTCTCATCAGAAGGTAAGTTGAACCCAGTGTACAGCATGGTGGTTATAGTTAATAACAATGTATTGTCTATGCATACTTGACATTTGCTGAAAGAGTAGACCTTGTGTTCTCACCACATGTACACAAGAAATAGTGCAACATAATGGATATATATATATATATGTATGGTTTTTTTGAGACAGAATCTTGCTTTGTCACCCTCGATAGAGTGCTATGGTGTCACAGCTCACAGAAACCTCAAACTCCTGGGCTTGTGTGATTCTCTTGCCACAGCCTCCCAAGCAGCTGGGACTACAGGTATCCACCCCATCACCTGGCTATTTTTAGAGACAAGGTCTTGCTCTGGCTCAGGGGGTGGTCTCGAACCTGGGAGCTCAGGAAATCCACCCACCTCAGTCTCCTATAGTGTTGGGATTACAGACGTGAGCCACGGCACCTGGCCCCATAATGGATATATTAATTAGTTCGATTGTGGTATTCGTTTTAAAACATCATGTTTTGGCTTGGCACCTGTAGCAAAGTGGCTAAGGCACCAGCCACATACACCAGAGCTGGCGGGTTCAAATCCAGCCCAGGCCCACCGAACAACAAAGACAATTACAACCAAAAAATAACTGGGCGTTGTGGTGGGCTCCTGTAGTTCCAGCTACTTGGGAGGCTGAGGCAAGAGAATTGCTTAAGCCCAGGAGTTGGAGGTTGCTGTGAGCTGTGATGCTATGACATTCTACCCCGGGTGACAGCCTGAGGCTCAGTCTCAAAAAAAAAAAAAAAACACAAAAAATGTTTTATAACCTAAACTCAATATTTACAATATTGCCTCTATAAAGTTGTGGGGGTAGAGATGCAGTCAATTTCCCCTCAGCCCTTAAAAGGAACAACAACTTCCATTTTTCCTCTCTCTCTTAGAATTTAGCTGCCATGCTCTAATGAAGCCCAGGTTGCCTTCAGAAAGAGACCCCACGTGGAGGAGAATCACAGTGTCCCACTGACAGCCAAAACCATGCTTCCAAACATATGAATGATGTCTTCTTCAATCATCCAGCCCAGCTTAGCTGCCAGGGGTGATCCTAGTTTGTAATGCATGAAGCAAAAAAACTGCCCAGTCAATTGCCAGACTTGTGAAAGATGATAAACCATTGTTGGTTGGGTCTTTTTGTATCTAATTTAAAAAATTGAGATATAATTCACGTACTGTGCAATTCGTCTTTTTAAAATGTTTAATTCTATGAGTTTTAGTATATTCATAATGTTATGCAACCATTACAACACTATCTAATTCTAAAACATTTTCATCACCCTAAAAGAATCTATTTTCATTAGTAGTCACCCCCCATTCTTCCCAATCCCCAGACACTAATGGGGGACTTTATGACTTTCCTATTATAGATATCACATATAAGGAGAATCATATAATGTGATTATCATATATTCATAAAAGCTATACCTTTTCTGTCTAGCTTGTTTAATTTAGAATAATGTTTTCAGGATTCATCCACATTGTAGCAAGTGTCAATACTTCATTCTTTTCTATGGTTTAATATACTATTGTTAAGAGTACACCATGTTCTGTTTGTTCGTGAACAGATGGACATTTGGGGTGTTTCCATTGTTTGGGGATTATCAATAATGTGTAAACATTCACTTACAAGTTTTTATATGGACACATGTTTTCATTTCTCTTGAATTTTTACATAGGGGTGAATTGATGGGTCATATGGTAAATGTTTAATGTTTTGAGAAACTGCCAAACTCTTTTCCCATTTTATGTTTCTGCTAGGGGTGAATGAGAGTTCCTGTTTCTCCATATCCTCTCCAACACTTGTTATTGTATATTTGATTATAGCTATCCTGGTAGGATGTGAAGTGGTGTGTGCTTATTAGCCATTTGCATATTTTCTTTGGAGAAGTATCTATTCAGGTCCTTTGCTTATTTTTAGTTTAGTTTAGTTTAGTTTTTGAGACAGAATCTCAGTGTCATCTTGGGTCGAGTGTTGTGGCATCATAGCTCACAGCAACCTCAAACTCCTGAGCTCAAGCCATCCACCTGCCTCAGTCTCCCACTGCACCCGGCTCTTTGCTCATTTCTAAAATGAATTTTTTTTTTTTTTGAGACGGAGCCTCAAGCTATCCCCCTGGGTAGAGTGTCGTGGCATTACAGCTCACAGCAACCTCCAACTCCTGGGCTCAAGCGAGTCTCCTGCCTCAGCCTCCCAAGTAGCTGGGACCACAGGCGCCCGCCACAACGCCTGGCCATTTTTTGGTTGCAGCCATCATTGTTGTTTGGCGGGCCTGGGCTGGGGATTCGAACCCGCCACCTTAGGTGTATATGGCTGGCGCCTTAGCTGCTTGAACCACAGGTGCCAAGCCAAATGAATTTTTTTTTGAGACAGGGTCTTGTTATATTGCCCAGGGTAGAGTGCTGTAGTTATTCACAGGTGCAATCATTGCACACTACAGCCTCAAACTCCTAGTCTCAAGCTATCCTCCCGCCTTGGCCTCCTGTCTGGGAATACAGTCATGTACCAGCACAACTGGCAGATTATTTATCTTTTCATTGTTGAGTTGTAAAACAATATATCTAGGTATGACTTTTATCAGATATATGATTCATAAATATTTTCTCCCATCTGTGGATTGTCTTTTCACTTTCTTTTTTTTGTTGTTGTTTTTGAGACAGATTCTTAAGCTGATGCCCAGGGTAGAGTGCTGTGGCATCACAGCTCACAGCAATCTCCACCTCCTAGGCTTAAGCAATTCTCTTGCCTCAGGCTCCCCAGTAGCTGGGACTACAGGCAACCACCACAATGCCCAGCTTTTTTCTTTTCTTTTTTTTTTTTTTTTTGGTTGTAGTAGTCATTGTTGTTTGGCAGGCCCAGGCTGGGTTTGAACCTGCCAGCTCTGGTGTATGTGGCTGGTGCCTTAGCTGCTTGAGCTACAGGCGCCGGAACCCAGTTTTTAAATCTTAATGAAGTCCAACTTATCTATTTCTTTGGTCACTTTTTCTTTTGGCGTTATATTTTATAAACCATTGCCAAACTCAAGGTCACAAATATTTACTCTTATGAAGCTGGTTGTAGTGGCTCACACCAGTAATCCCAGTACTCTGGGAGGCTGAGTCAGAAGGATCCCTGGAGATCAGCAGTTTAAGACCAGCCTGAACAAAGTGAGACCCTAGGCTCAGCGCCTGTGGCTCAAGTGGCTAAGGCGCCAGCCACATACACCTAAGGTGGTGGGTTCGAATCCAGCCCGGGCCTGCCAAAATAGCCAAGCACTGTGGTGGGTGCCTGTGGTCCCAGCTACTTGGGAGGCTGAGGCAGGAGACTCACTTGAGCCCAGGAGTTGGAGGTTGCTGTGAGCTGTGATGCCACAGCACTCTACCCAGGGGCACAGCTTGAGGCTCTGTCTCAAAAAAACCGAAAAAACAAAGCGAGGCCCTATCTCTACTAAAAACAGAAAAATTATCTGGGCATGGTGATATGCGCCTGTACTCCCAGCTACTCAGGAGGCTGAGACAGAAGGATTACTTGAGCCCAGGAGATAAGGTTGCTGTGACCTAGGTTGAGGCCATGGCACTCCAGCCCCGGTGACAGAGTGAGACTCTATTTCAAAAAAAAAGAAAAAAAACAAATCCAAAATTTACTCATATGTTTTCTTTGAAGAGTTATAAAACTGTAAAGTTTTATCTATTACATTTAAGTCTTTGGTCCATTTTGAGTTAATTTTTGTATGTGGTGTAAATTACAAATCCAACTTCATTCTTTTGCATGTAGATATCCATGTTGTTCTTTTATGCCACTAATGTTGGGGATGTCTTGTTATGTAGCAATAGGTAACCAAAATAACATCTTCCAAGGCTTCATTTCCCCATCTGGTTCAGTCAACCAACCAAGCTCTGTGGATTCTACCACCTTAATAGGATGGATCCTTCTATTCCCACCACCATGCCATTCCCAAACCTCAATCCTCTCCCACTGGGACTAGTGCCTCTCCAAGCTCATCATCTGCTCCAGAATGCTTCTATTTAGACAAAGTTTTTTTTTTAATGCCAATTGAATCATGTCCACACCCATTTAAAATAGTACCAAGTCCAACCCCTGTCATATCACTAGGTGATAGGAATGTTTCAGTTCCATTATCTTTTTTTTCTCATTACAGTCTTATGGGATCACCATCATATACACAGTCAAATCAGTGACTGAAACATTGTTATGCAGCATACGACTATAATATTTGAGGGTTTTTAAAGCACATTATATTAAGGAGTTTATGACGTTGGTAAGTGTTCTTACTGGTAATATTAACCTGGATCATTTTGCTAGGGTCTTGGAGGAGTAGATAGTGTAATATTACCCAAATATCCTGTTTATCCTTAAATTTTTGCTTCCTAATCTTAGCATTCATTTTGCCTTCAAAAATTTGGCCAGGTGTGGTGGTTCACGCCTATAATCCCAGCACTCTGGGAGGCCGAGGCGGATGGATTGTCTGAGCTGACAGGTTCCAGACCAGACTGAGCTAGAGGGAGACCTTGTTTCTAAAAATAGCCTGGCACTGTGGCAGGTGCCTGTAGTCCCAGCTACTTTGGAGGGAGGCTGAGGCAAGAGAATCACCTGAACCCAAGAATCTGAGGATACTGTGAGCTGTGACACCATAGCATTCTATCAGGGATGACAAAATGAAATTCTGTCTCAAAAAAAAAAAAA